AGGCGGAGGCAGCCAGCGCGATGCCCCCGTCACCGCACACCGGCTTTGTGTCCCGGACCACGGCAGTGCCCGCTGGAGCCCCAGCGGGGCGGCTGGGATGGCCCGCCCGCCAAGATCGGGGCATCGGAGTACAAATCTATGCAGGTACAGAACAAAACAAGCAGCGTGCAGGATGAGACTCCTGAGAAAGTGGGAGCTATCTCCAAGGAGGTCTGGCTCCCGCTGAAGCAGAGCGAACCCTCTCTGGGGCTCTCCACAGCTGTGGGGGCATGCTGTGGGCACGCCAAGCGTCAGCCTTTCTGCTTTCACATCTCGGAAATGGCAGCCACATGCTACAGGCAAGAACAAGCACTAAGGTTCATCGGCCCTTGAGCAGCGCGTTCCTTCTCTTGCTAACAACCAGGATCCTTTCACTTTTAGATTTCGTACCATATTTTATTTTTACACCTCACAAGAATGCTCCTCTGGAGTGATATTTGTAAGTGAGATAATCTTCTGCCTTTAGCAACCCTCTGCTAGTCCCTCCCTGTTCATACCCCCTGTTAGCCGCTACCAAGTCAAACCCTCGGACCCCCGAGGTTTGCATTGCCCCGTACACCAGCAGCAGACAGCCGCGCGTCTGTCCGTCTGGAGCCAAACCCTGCCTCTCCAACCAGGGAAAAGCTCTACCTCCTCTGTTATTTTGCAGGTCTTGGAATGTGTGGGAAGAGCTCAAATATTTTTTCACTGGCCATGAAAAATCTTGGTGGCCAAAAAGAAACTCTCACCACTTCCAGAAAGCCATTTAACCTCATACAGAAAAAAAGCTGTGTTTGGTCCCATTCCTCACCTTTCAGTGCGGTACAGAGAGGGGAGCAAAAGGGAGACACCTTCGAGTGTGACAGCAGGGGACTTCTGAATGCTGACGCCTACCCTCCCTGGACCAGGATGGATATTAATGGGCTACAGCTAATTAAACCTATTAGAGACAGCTTTTTGCAGGATCAGCAAACAAATCAAATATGCTATATCATAGCCATCCCAGAGGGAGAAATACCATGCTCTCTGTTGTATATGAAATGCTTTTCTTTGGCAAGCCTAGTGTTTTACATAAAAGTTAAACGTATGTGGGAGAATATTTTGTTTAGCTCTTAAGCTTCTATTTGCCCTTGCATGTCAAAGAGGAACAAATCTGCCCCAACTGCAGCCTACAAGCATCGGTCCACCTATGAGGTCCCCAGCTGACCTGTGGATGATGTGCCTGCTCTGCAGATAGTCGAGGGCCAGCACCAGCTCACAGATGAAGAGTTTCACAGTGCCTTCTTGGAACCGCACGTTTTGTTGGAGATGGTAACGCAGGTCCCCTCCAAGCAGCAGGTCTACAACCATAAACATATCTTCTTCATCCTGGAATGAGTACCTAAAATGGCATAAGCATGGTTCAAGGATGATAATATTAAAAAAAGGCAGGTTAAAAAGGGACATATGGTACCTCTGGGAATACTCATAATTTCTTGGATCTTTTTCACTTGTTTGTGAAATAATAGTTTCATGACCTTTCCATGCTCTGTTTCCCACTGCAACTAAACTTCTACCACCTTTATTCTCAAAATAATTGAGATGACCGTAATTTAGCTTCAGATCCATAACCAAGTCAATGCAGCTTGTATGAACAACTACCAGCAGGCCCGCTAGGAGAACAGGAACCCAATGTTTTTATGTCAAACTTGTTACTATCAGCCGCTTCAAAACCAAAGCCACATCCAAGCCCACTGCTCTAACGCAGCTTGCTGCTAATTTCCTCCCCCTAACAGTTGCGAAGGGAGATGGACGGGAGTCTGGCAGGCGGGCACAGCTCTCGGGCATGTCTATCACGGGATATGAGTGGCAGTGACTGACAGCACAGACCAGAAAGGGCCCAGGAGGTGTGGGCCGCGCATTTTTATTTTGGGGAGGACCTCATACTAATGCTTGTTTACTGCTTGCTTCCTGAATTGCTGGGAAGCATACAGCACGCAGCAGCTTTGTTTGCTCAGCAGTTAACAGCTAGTGCCAGCGGCTACGAGCTAGTGAAATGCTTCCACTTACGTGTGAGGAGCAAGATGGTACCGCTGCACCCACTGCGCACTGTCAGAAGAGGCTGGCCACAGGCAGCGACTAAACCAGCCTTTTGACTATGCCACTTTGACTATGGAGTGGTGCAGCCCCAGAAATCACCCATGTTCATCCGTGCTGGTGCTCTGCAAACTGTCCGTAAAGCCTATGCTGGCTCAGCCAACGCTGGCGTACGTAAGATCCCTCCAAGGGATCTTGGAAGATCCCTTCACTTGCTGCGAAGTCCCAGCTGGCTGAGCAATCGGTAACTCAATACAGCAGTGGAAATCCAGCTTGGAGCTCTGGATAAGCGCTATTCTCCATGAGGTTCACACTCAGCTCTTCAAGATGGACATTTCGTCTTCTCCAGGCACCCAAGGGAACTGACCACAGGAGCAATGTAGAGAGGAGCCCTAAACCAGTTTCACAGCCCTGCCCAGACTCACAGCCGGTAGATTGTGCACCGGAGGCACTCAGAACCGGGCTCTGGTGCTCCTAGCAGCAGCCTGTTAATAAACCCATTTGCTCAACGCAACAGGGGATGCAGCTGCTATCTGCCGTTCCTCTTTAAGTGACCTCATTTGATGCAATTATTTACCAAGTGTCCCTCTGAGACAGTCTAACAATCAGCTATGAGCTTTTTTCTCATGGATTTTCTTCTTACCAATACACCAGCTTCTTGATGTGTTGAGCAGCACCACAAATTAGAATATTACTCCACATGAAGCTTGTAGTCTGTGTATCATTCAGAGTGCAGGAAAGCTAAAGGCTATACCCTAGCCCAGGGATGACATGATAAGAACAGAAGTAGGGAAACTCAGATGATTTGCTCTGTACCGGTCTATACATATGCATATGCTGTTTAGTTCTCAGCTGCTGAGTGAGTTTTGCCTGGAACTACTCATTCAAATAGGAAAGCTAAGTTTGGAGATATGTCCAGAGCTCTGGGAGGTCTAGATGCATGGTTCTCATTCAAACCCTGGTTAGAACAACACTGACTGGCAAGACCATCAAAATCATGAGAGTTCACCTAACAGCACTCAAGTTACAGGAGATTTCAAAAAGGAACACAAAGTTATTCAAAGATTTGTGATCCTCAGTGTGTTTTAGCCTCATTTTTTGTGTTTAGCATTGGTAAGTTCGACTTCATTCTAAAAATAAATCAAATATCCAATAAATGTAATTACCCACCACCCAAAGGAATCCTATAGCTACAGGATATTGGCTGCTGGATCATGCAGTGTGTGAGATCACACCACGTGAGATGTTACTGGTGTCCTAATAAAATCAACCCAGCAGACTCTAACAGTAATGGAGTCTTATTTAAAATTCCTTTCTACAGCATGTTGCAGGACAACATGCTGAATCAAATGAAGGGGAAGAATTAATGCATCTTCTATCACTGAGCTGGTCAATCCCATTGCTAATGGTTGAAAAAGGACTATAACCAGAGCACATAGGTTGCATTTGTCAGGTACTCTTAAAGAAAAGTGACTCTCTTATGTGCACATTTCCCCTATAGATATATGGGTTTCTGCAATAAAATTTGAATGGTATTTTTCTTCTGTCAGTAAATTCAACGATAAATTGCTTTTAGCTTTGCTGATTAGCATCAATTCAGTCAAATATCAATAAGGTATTAAGGCAGGCTGTTTAAAGCATGAAATAAACCACAAAATCAGAATCAGGAGGTGATGAGAAGAAAGCACTGCCAAGGCAAACCCTGCAAAGAGAGCACTGCTTGGCTATTGACCCGGTGCTGTTGCTGTGCCGTCTGGGAGCTGATGTTTGTTGCAGAAGAGCACTATTAAATAAAACTGGGTTATGGTAACGAGCAATACCTGCCTAGGAGGAAACCACAATGTAACACACGAATAAACTCTCTTGTGCTTGTCTGGGGGAACAAGAGGGCTAAATTCTTGTTTAACTAAACAAGATTTCCCTGAAACCAGAGCCCCAGCCAGTGGAGCAGACGAGGAGCCCCACCTCCAACGAAGAACCACGGGACCAGTCCACAGTGCACGCACCCGCGCTCTCCAGCGCAGTCACAGACAGTCACTGCCGCTCGCC